AAAAATTGTCATTAATTTTTATTTAATTATTTTGTGAATAAGTTTAATTGTACCATTAGAGAACGCATTCCCTTCGTATGCAGCAAATCATCATTGAATTGGGATATGAACATATGCTTGATATGTAGTGTTATGGCACCGCGAGGAAAAGAATACAAGACATTAAGCATAACACAAGATGAGACAGAAAAGAGTTCCCCCCATACAATGAACTTTCTTCTTGTCCTTGGAGGCAAACTCTGGTTATATACATATAAGTGGTGAATTAAGTTCTCGTGATCAAACCTTAATGCACAGAGAAGCATGAAAATGGCTTCAGTAATTAAAGCTTGAATGCCTTTTAGAAAGGAAAATCTTTGACCCTGACCATGGACTAAAGTACCATCCATTAGATTTTGCCGAAGACGAACAATAATACCAGGGTTGCAGCGGTTCGTTTGATTCAGGAATTTTGGACATATCTACTTCGTCTATCAGAAAATCATGATAAATAGCATCTTAATTTCATGCAATGTGAGAATCCATCTCGTATTTCTATCTGTTGAGCCCCTGAAACCTGATAGGAATCTTAAAGTCGGTGACCAATGCAAAAAAATCAGTCAAAATAGGTTCAAATGATTTTGTTACATTTAATTTTCATGAGTTGAAATTTGTTTTAAAAAAATTATAATTTGGGTTTGGAGTTATATTTAAGGCAGATCAACTCACCAATTAAGCTGATGCCACAAAAAACAATGTCACAAAACTTCAATATGGACTTGTTCCTCAAGTTATAGCAGTAGCATAGCATGGGTGTCTTTCTACATCCTATTGATGTGTAAGATGAGCATATTGAGATTCCACTAACAAGCGAATGTAACTGCTCAAAGTGCACCTGACTTGTAACACTTATAAGAGATCTAACTAGCATACTATAGTTTATGCGTTAACTTAGTGAAAGCAGTATGCTGTCAGCAGAAATAATCCCCATATGTCCCTTTATGTGTACAGCGACTTAAGGCTCCTGAATAATGAATGTGAAGTAATTGGTCAGAAGAAATTCAAATAATTTCTACCTTTACTATTGATCTTTCAATTGAGGGGAAAAAAAAATTGGGATTGAAGTTGCCTTTTAGGTTGACCATCTCACTGATGAAGCAATGCCATCCAAAAATTGTTGCAAAAATCCAGCAGGAACTTCCTCCCTGGTGATACAGTTCTTCTACATAACATAAACTTTAACACATTTAAGTAATTTTAATTGCAATTATTCTCAAAACCAAATACTATATAAAAGTTAATTTTTCTACTGAAATACCATTATTGTTCTTATTTTTGGAGGAACATGCTGTTGATAACAATAAGAAACAAACAAGAAACCAGACACCGGGAATCATATCTGCTCCAAAGCAACAGAGGCCAAAGAAATAGAGAAAAATTAAATAATGAAAAGGAAAATTGGTGAAACATATGCCTCTTAAAAAGATTTTAAGATAAATAATTCTACTCAAAGTTACCTTGATGTAGTCATGAGCTAACTCAAAACAAATTTGGTTGGATTCTAGGTGCAGAAGGCAAGACTGAGCATCCCCAATAACCTGCTGTATGATCCAAATTTTTTGAAGCATGAGAGTTACTTTTATCATAAGAACTTGC